GATTTCCGTAATAACAAGACATAATGTTCGGATTCGATTCGAACACAGAGAAAGAAGAGCAAAAATCGTTGCTCGCAATGTTGGCATTAAAATTGCAAAGCGTGCAGACAGGAACAGGAGGCGTCCTGCACCCGGCTTTTTTCGACCCTTTTTTCTCTTCCTCCCCCTCTCTCTCACTCTCTTTCTCACAACCCTATCCCGACATTGCTCGTGATTGTCCCCAGAGATCCCACTTCGACAAGTAGCACTAAATGAAAAACTCGCCATCGTGAAGATGCGTTTGCGTTCGCGGATGCGTTATATTAAAATCCGCCATTGTCCGACAATAGCACGCCGGATGAGCGGGATAGAAATAGAGAAAAGAAGTAGAAATATACTCGCGAAATCGTTTCTTCCGATGCGCGCGGATTTACACGAGTGAGAAAAACTCAAGCGTAATAAAAGATAATACAAGACCGATAAGTCGATAAAGACGGAAAGGCTGATAAACCGAATGCCGAACGATGCGAACGAGAGTTACTTTTTGAAATAAAGTTTCGCTTTGAGATTTCCGTAAGAATTGTTTGAAATATATCTAACATTAGTTTTAGATATATTTCTGAAGTGAATTGATTATAATAGCTGAGAGGGGTTGTAAATGACTGCTCGAGATTTTCAGTAGAAGTTACTTTCAACGAAAAGGTATAAGAAGAAGAATGAAAGGAGTCGGAGCAAGAGCAGAATAAGTCCATAATTTGTAAAATTTCCTTTAGATATATCTTCATATTCAAAGTGGATGTCATAAATTATGGACTTGCTCCACTTTTTTGCTCCGAACTCGCTGTCGACTATAAATCGGTATTTTCTGCCTGTAAAGATTCATACTTATAATTGTATAATTAAACATTAATACGCGTTGGAATAAAAATAAGAAAGCACAGGAATTGTAATTACAACCGATTAAATCCAGCATTATGTGCAGATCCTGAATAATATAAAAATCATAAAGATAACTTACAATTAGTATGTGAAATAATTATAATCAAGTAAAAAAAAATAGTCTTCAATACGATAACTTATAAAGAACGAATTCAACGGTTAACAATTTTTAACTTTTTCTGACGAGAAGAAAAGATCTTTCTCTCGTGCATAAAATTTCAAAAATTGATTTTCTTGTCAAATATATTATAGAACGAGAATCTAGTAGTAGTAGTTCTATATAAATTTCAAGACATATCGACTTTTGACATTTCCTTCGCTATTTCAAGAAACTGAGGCTAATAATTTTTCGGGAAAAATTCCGAGTCCAATGTGTATTTTTGATGAGACAGAGAGAAATCACGGATTTTCGCGAATCGTCGAGCGTTAGACATCCTCGAAAATTTCTCACCTCGCGTTAAACTTAAAGATTGCTAAAATTTTGCGGATCGTGCACAGCGGTCCCAACATACCGAGTTCGAAACGAACAGCCGACGGTCATGCCTGCGTCAGGCATTTCGGATAGTATCGACGATCGAAATTTATGGCATGCTCAGAATTGGGCCGCATCGATCGGGGCTGCTGCCGCCGTGCGATTTGTAAGCGTATATAATGCTATCGTATAGGTTTCGTACATAGCGAACAACGTCTCAACGTTGAGAGGCACCGAAACTCGAAACGTGAAATGAGATCGTGTATAAACAAATCGTACTTTTGCGATAGGATAGATGTGTGTGTACACGGAGAGAATTTTTTCTTAGAGTTTACCCTGAAAATATGATAGTCGTGGGATAATATTGTATTTCGAAGAATTTTAATGTAAATCTCTCTCATTCATTGATAAAACTACAATAAAGTATAAAATAAGTTTGATTAATTTTACTGAAGTGCATGGTAAAAATCTTCAAAATATTGTGTTGTACCACAACTACCATATTTTTTCAGGATAATTTTTAAAAGAAAATTCTCTCCGTATATGTATGTGCATTGAGAAAAATGTCTGATTATACCAACAAGAGGTAGATACGAATAAAACACATTCTGATTTCTGATGATATCAATCAAAATTTTATTAGGTATCGTAATTAAATTTCTAGCAATCTCAACTAGAACATTTGATTTGACTACATTTATTAGATTTTGTTAGATTTAACTATATTACCTGTTATTTTATTAGATTTAACTGTAAGTATCTGATTGATACCTTTTATGACTAAATCTGTCAGAATTCCAATTTAATGCAATCAGACTTCTAGTGTGTGTGTGTGTTGTGTTGAAAATAGTAAAAAACATTTTGTATTAGTCCACTCAAATCTTTATTAAAATTTTCTGTTAAATTTTTAACCCTAGCTATATACATTCTTTTTTTCTTCCTTGATATACACACTTAGGTCTCTGAGTCCCCATCCATATTTGTTACCGTAACTTCCATAAAAATGGACATATTTCAATTAATTTTTTTTCAATCGATGAATTGATTAAGGAACAAGTCCATGATGTGTAAAAGTCGATAGAATTAAGGAGCTTCGAGATATATACATTAAAAAAAAAGTTCATTACCTTTTTTAATCTTTTTTGCATAATATTTGTATTACTTTCTAATATATATATTCATCTTGTGTTAAATTAATATAAAAATTTAAGTGAGCTGAGTGCGAAATGTGTTAAATTTAATACAAATTTTTCAAGTGTGTATGTGATTGCTCGTTTAATTCGTCCTGCCTTTTAATGAGCAGCCATTTCATTTCGATCGAGAAACAATAATCGCTGTTTTGAATTATTTATTTGACTGAATTATGCATAGTTTATATATTAACTATTATAATTCGTTACTGTTGATTTCGTTATTATATCCAATTATGTCAGCCTGAAATTAACAGATTTTTTTCCCTCTCTGTGGATTTGAACTAAAAAAAAGGCAGAGACAGAAAAGAGCCGGTAATTTCGTTATTAATTTGCATTACTGTTGGTGGATCCAGCAATGTGTTAAATAATAGCCTTTATTTAATTAAATACATGGGAATATCATGCCTTTTGCAGAAAAATATTTAAAAATGTAACCTAAAATACGTGGCAAAAAGTAAATGTCAATACACGAACGTATTTTGACATATACTCTCATACAAAAATACGCAGAGCTCAGTCAAGCTATTATAAAAAACGCGAAAAACAACGGAGAGAGAAAGTAAACGTGATAAAAATGATCGACGCTTTTTCGACAGTCAACGATTCGCGACATTGTGCCGACAGCCAAAACGGTCGATAAACCAAGCTGAATTAGCAAATTCGAAATTTCATCGCGGGACAGAGGCTCGTCGTGTATAATTGGCAAGTCGATGGCGATTGACTGCCAATGTGCTCGCGACAGGTTATAAACGTCGCGCGCAGCGACGATCGAATCTGCTCGATTCAATTACAGTCTCTCGACATTTCGGTCTCTCTTGCCTGTCTCTTGCCCCTCGCGAGCCTCCGCGACGCGTTTCGCGTGGAGAGAAAATGCGATAGAATAAAACAAGATGACAGAATGGCAGCGACAGGGATGATCGCCTTACCTGCGGACATTCGTTTCTCAGGGGATGGGATGATGGGGAGGAGGAGGCGGGCGTAAGCCGCCCGTTGAGACTGGCCTGCAGCTAAACAATCACTACGAGGGAAGCGGCGGCGACATAATAGCCTGACGACGGCGCGGGGGTGAATAGCGACGTAAATGGAGACGAGCCGGTAGGCCAGCCAGCCGCGCACCAACTGCAAAAGCCGTGCGGAATGGTGCGGAAGCAACGGCGGCGGCGGTGGCGGCGGCAACGGCATCCTCCCGATATCGTGATCGCACCTCGCCTGATTATACCGGTGCGCCTGCCACTGGCCGAACACGCGATCGATACACGCGCGCGCGCAGCAATCGACTGCTCCGTCTCGTCGCGTGGCGGTCTCAGCCGGCCACGATCGGTAACTATGTTCGCACGTTAGATCTGCACATCGCTATAATTACCAACGGCGATGCGAAAGTCGTTTTCTCGATAGTGACTGTAGCGATCGGCAGAGAGAAAAACCTGAAAGCAGAGATCTGAGAGGGGTCGTTCCCTGAGAGGGTGTTTTTTGTGAATTCTTCAAAATCGCCCGTACACTAGCGTCAGTACATCCATTTTCAATTTGGGAACTACGTAGCTACGTACTGACGATAAAAATATAAAATTGATGACGCGATTTAAGGGGGGAGAGTCATGTAAACAGGCGTTTTTTTACGAATTTATTTATAAAAAATAAAAAGGTTTATTAAACTTTGGTAAAGAACATCGTAATATTGACAATAAATGCTATAAGAAAAAATTTTTTTTTTGTGTCATAAAAATTCAAAATGGCGGCGCTAAGCTGCTTGAAGTTGACTCCTTTTTTTTGCGCGGTGCAGGCTATAGGTCGTTCTAATTATTTGAAATAAAAAATCCAAAATTTTTTCGTTAAAATATGATCTTGCGCAGATCTTGAACCTAAATTAAAAAAAAATCAAAAATTAAAAAAATTCAAGACACTTTGTAAAAAAAAATAAATCGAATTTTTTTAAGTGTCCTAAATTTTTAATTTTCAAATTTCTTTTAATTTAGGTTCAAGATCTGCACAATCATATTTTAACGAAAAAATTTTGGATTTTTGTTTCATAAACCCTACTTATGTATAATGTCGGTAATTAACAGGAAACAATACAGGTAAAAGAATTTCAGAAAAAAATAGGTACCTTTATTTTTTGGTCAAGGCTGTATTTGAAATATATTTTGTATTACCTATAATTTACATAAAAAGAGTTTAAAAGACTTTTTGTTTTGTTTTTATTTTCGTAGTCTTCCGTACGATTAAAATCATACAAAATTATTATTAGCAAATAATATCAAAATAAAGATTGTCAAAAAAGATAGTTTGTGTCTCTGCTTAAAAACGTGATTTATTTTATTATACTATATTTTTTAATCTTTAAACAATAAAACGTATATGATATAATAATAGTAATAATAATTATATGTATATCAATTAATGCAATTCAAAACGAACTCTTACTGTAAACCGCCTTCTTCCATCAGTTTTGTAAAAAATTCTTCGACTCTGTCGCTTGGTTCCACTTGACGTATTATGTCTATTAGAGAAAGTAATTTCTTAATACCAATGAATACTCTGAAATCATAAAATGTATAACGATAGAATATATATAAAGAAAGTGTTTATATTATGAGAAATTCATAATGATAAAATATCTATAACAAAATATTCGCTGTATCTACACATTATTGGATATCATATATATATTGTCTTAATAAAGTTGTTAAAGATTTCAGTAATATCATACTGTTGCTTTCCTTGAAGCTTTGTCTGAAAGGAAGCCATTTTATGTTTTGAAAAAAGATTAACTTCATCCAACACGTTAAACATATGATCAACGGTTGACAAATTAGGCACATGAAGAATGACGTTAAATGTTGAAAGTAATTCCACATCGTTTAAAAATTGTCTACAAAAAGAAATACATTATTGAGAATATGTAAGAATACATTTGTTAATTGTTTTTTCTTTATGGCCAAGAAAGTTCTTATCTTACTGGTAACTAGAAGTGCACAAAATCAACAGTTTATGACCAGACGGTGGTGATTTCTCTAATAACATAAAAAATGTTTGCAATATCAGAATAGAATACTTTGAGTTAATTGGACAGTAATTCAGTAGACGTTCAATATTATCAATTATAATGCAGCTGAACTGTGAACCATATGCCTCATCGAACACCTAAAATGTACAAACGATAAGCGATTATTCTAATCTACGACAAATATAATTACAAGAATTTACTTATAAACTTGTGTAATACAAAATGAGTTACATCATACCTTTTGTATAAAACGACATTTTGCAGAATCATTTTCAAATTCATCAAGGCTGATTATGTCTTCAGATGTAATAACTTTAACAAATGGGAAGTTTGAATTCTTTGCAATTTGTGCGGCAAGCGTTGTTTTTCCACTTTTTGGTAATCCCATCAAAAGAACAGAAAAGAGCCCAATTTCCCGAGCAACTTTAATGCATAAATTGCCATTTTCGAGAATTTCAGTTACCGGGTTACCCCAAGTAATAATCTTATTGTCTAACCATTTACTTAATACTTCAGTACTTGTATTAAATGACTGAAAGATATGAAAATATAACATTTAGCTATTATATTGTACATCTTATATAAATGCAAGATTAAATTTTACTATCTAAAAATTATGTATTTTCATGTAAAATTAGTTACTGGAAACAAAAATGATAAAGTTAAAGCGAAGTAGAACGAAATAGTGAGAAAATGCATTTTTAGTAAAAAAAAATTGCTTAAATTTCTGACTTTTTTGCATTTCATTTTCTTTGTAAATGTTAATGAAAAAGATGTGATAACTACTTTTTAAAAAAATAAAAATTTCAGAAATTCAAGAAATATAAACAGTTTTTTACAAAAGAATAAGAAAAAGCCTTAAATGAATATACAGACGAGAATAATTTAGATGATATTTTAATTACAATTGATAAAATAGTTCAATTGTAAGAATAATTAATAAATAAAAATCATTTATTCATTCAATTAACAATAAAAATTTTCAATCCTCGACTTACTAGTTTAATATAATGCTTCAATGCACAGAAAAAAAATCGCTTACAGTTACCATAAGCTTCTCATCTACAAAGTTGGGTAAAATGCCTTTCGAATTCTATTTAAAATACTAAATATAAAATACTTTAAAAAAGTGTATTTAAAATGCAAAATACGTTTTTCCAATCCATTTTAAATATAAAATGGATAAATAGGTATTTTAAATAGTTTTCGAATGCAAAAATAGTTTTTTCTGATATATGTATATATATTTTTTAAGTATTTATTATGTTTAAAATCAATTTTAAATGGAATTTTTAAAAATGTATCCCCTTTAAGGATGTATTAGATCAATGTAGTACAATCCGTCCAAAGAAAATTAAATTTGGAAGTATGCTTAATATTTACACTTCAAATAAACTATATACATATGAAAGTTGCGTAAATAAAATTATTAATATTTTATTTATTTACTAGACAACTAGTTCATACATCGCAATGTAACTCTACGTAAATAATCTTGAGTACATAATATATTAAAAAATTGAAATTTTTATCATTTATCTTATAATACGTTTCCATATATTTTTTATTAGAGAGAGAGCAACAGATTAAAAAAATACTACTATTAAAATCACTTATGATCCAGATAGTAAACCATCACCAAATTCATCGTATTATTTTTAAATGTGATTTAGAATAATCTGTAATTTTTTTCATAATTTTATTATCATTTTGAAAATATGTATAAAACGTCCTTAACATTCGGTGAACAAGGATAAAATAATATACAAGAATATACTCGAATGGTGTTTTCAAATGTAACCTTGATCGCGTGGAACAAAGCGCACTCACGTTTGCTTTCGTCTTTTATTTTCATGGACATATAATCGATGTTTTCGAGCATGTTAAATAATGTCGCACGATTTTGTATAATATGTTCAAAATCGAACAATCAAAACTGACCTTTGTGTTAGTTGATGGAGAACTTTCCTCTGCATAATTTTCCATCTCTTCAGAATTCCATCGTTCACTAACATTTTCCATATCTGACTTACGTCCCTCTTCCATATTTAAATTATTACGTTTCTGTTTTTTAAAATTTAGAGGTTTAGAATGTTTAGACACTTGACGATTTATTTGAGAGATCCTAATTTTCTTGTCTAAAAATCTACACTTGGAGACGATACGGCCAGTAACAGTTCTTTCCCTCCAATCTTCCACGGATAAATCGAATAAATATTATCAAATAAATATAGAATTATAGAAGGCAATTGTAGAGAAGAGAAAGTTAGTTTTGTCAGAAACTTACAAAAATTTTAACGACTAGACCTGGCGAATCTTCTGATGCAATAGTGATTCGAATCGATGCTTGTATCACAAAAGGAAATAGAAACTGACTTGAACAGACTTCTTTATGGAGAATATTAATACCTAAAGCAAATTCAATCCGAACAATAGACAAAACAGGAATTGAGATTCTTCTTCTGCTCTTCAGTAAAGTTTTCCGACACTCGTAGGAAACACGATACCAAAGATAAAATCGAAACTCTTTTTGGTCCGATCGAGTTTGTACTAACCTGAGTTAACTTAATGACGATTTGTGCTCCCCTATTAATAGAGTGTATAACATCAATGATGTCAACCAATAGCAAAGCATTTTTCAATCCACGTTGGTGCAAATCTGGCCAAAAGCGCTATTTGATTTTACATTTTTTGCTAAACTTTAGAGTCCTATCAGAGAAGCTCTCTAGTTTTATATACATATTGTGCGATTTTCCAACGCATACGCATCCCCATCACTTTTGGACATGCTTTTTTAAACATTCGTTAAATATATATTATCAAAATCTTGATCATCTACATTCTACTTTGTTAGAGTATGATTTTCGGATGTTTTATTGTTACTTTATGTTAAGATATCTTCGAAACATCGAGACTGTGACACATAGAAACGAAATATGAGAATACGAAATATGTAAAAATTAAATTAATCTATACAGACAAAATATTCGATTTTTGATCTTTATAAATTTTATAGATATACAGGGTGTCCGGAAATTAGCGCATCAGAATATCATAGCAAGATAGAGCAGACCAAACTGAGTCGAAAACTAGTTTTATCGGTAATACAGGCGGCTCCAGCATCCCCTTAACTATTGTGAAAATTGAAAAATGGTAGAGGATTTTTCGATTTAGTTTAGTCTCTATCTTGCTATGATATTCTGATGCGCTAAATTCCGGATACCCTGTATAAAGTGTTAAGAATGACTTCCTATCATAAAACTGAACAATTGAAGAGCTATGATATAACTTGAGCTATAATGCCTTTGATGATAACGATGATGATGAATAGAATGTTAATAATTATTTATTACTAAATTTTGTGTTACGCATGGTTCCGTACGAGAACAGTCGATTTGTAATTTGCAGATCTCGAATTCAATATGGATTTTTCTTACATATATCTCCATTTTCAACTCCGAGTCTCATGGACATTTTACGAAGGATTAAGATGTAAGGCTAGAACAATTTGTAAAAATTAAATTTAATGAAAAGTTCGGAAAAACTAGGTATCGGACAGTAGTGAGACGCCATAAACCAATGTATTATTAAATTTCGCTAATATAAACAGTTGATTAATCAAGTTTAGAAGCTTCTTCAGAAATGTAGATAATTCTTAATATATACATCTATATAGTTTAAGATATATAGTCATATAGTTATTATATATCTTACTACATAAACCGTTATAATTTGTTTAATATTGTACAATTTTTATTGTTATGAAAGAAAGTACAATTAATTGTTTTACTTTGGAGAAAGGACATTTATTGCAAGAACCTGATTCAAATTGATTAACGATTACGAAGTAATCCAAGAATATATTAAAAAAAAAGAAATTCTCACATAAGCTTAAGGAATATTCGCGAGATAATCTTTCACGTTGGATGGATCCAATTTTCTGAATCCGTTTGCGTCACAAATGCCGACTTCGATATTGTCCGCAGTCATCTGTCCTTCGAAACCTTCCTTTAGCGTCAAGATGGCAGTGTGAACAGCATCGTCCAATTCCAGATCCTCGCTATACCTCTTTTCGAGAAACGTTTTGCCATTAACAAAGTTTTTGCCCATCGCGGTTGCCTTCCATGCAAAATATGTGCCAGATGGATCACATTGGAATAGATAAGGCTTGTCATTGTCCCAACCGCAGATCAGAAGAGATACTCCAAAAGGTCTAACACCTCTATAAATTAGCAATGGCAACAATTTAGTATTACTGCTTGTCTAATTATCTCTTATTATAATCAGAGACACATTCTACATATCTTCATATTATATATATTCAATCAAATAATTTAACATTAAAAAATATATAACTTTATATTTAAAATTTAAGAGCAAGTACAAATTACAGTTGAAGACTAATGGTGAATTGGATCACTCGCACTATATTAGATTAGTACTAAAGGCTGCTTTATATAAAATATCTAAATAATGGCATAATATAATCAATTTTGACAATAAAATAATACATGCATATTAAATAATGTGGCAATATCATTATCAAATAATTAATCGTTTAAAATATTTCACATTTAATTTTGCCAATTCTAATGAATAGCAGTTTTTAGTATGCACTAATCTAGTATAGTACAAGTGACCAAATTTGTTATAACTCACCCAGATTGCGTGTACTCTTGCATGACCATCGCAACGCGTTGTACGAGTTGTGCAGTCGGGATAGGTTCTCGATATACTAGGAGATACTGTTGTGCCATTTTCCGTGCTTGCTTTACTAATAATCTGTAATCTGGACCCATACCACTGTAAACCATGCCAATGTGCTTTGTGATCATTTCGACTTTGCTGACGCTATGCTCATCATAGAGAATGGATTTATGTTTGTTTTCTGTAGCCAGAACAACACCATTTAACGCCTTAATGCCCACGCTAGGCGCGCCAGCGGCTACTGCAGCCAAGGCATATTCTATTTGCACTAACTTGCCTGATGGACTGTAAAACACAATGTCATTAATCGATATATGAATTACACAATATATAAATTATTATGAATAATTATAATATTTGTAATTGTGTTATTTATATAATTTTTATATGATCAATTTTTATATGATCTTGTATTTTTAGACTTGACACATGTACCCCAAGAATTTGACGAGTCATCTTGTCATATTATGTGTTTGGCTTTTTCAAATAAAATATATTCAAACAAAATGATTATTTATATATTTGTCAATAAACGACTAATATTAATAAGACGCTGTTAATTAAGGCAAAAATTTTTATTTATAATAAATAGAGAATGTGCCAGGTATAAGCCCGGTTTAGAGAGAGGTTAAGTTACTATTTGATCCGTTTTCAGTGGCACCCTTCTTTTACCACAGATACGGAAGATTGGCGGTGAAACGCGCTGTTTGATTTTATACGCGATTATATCACTATAAATATATTTACCTGAAAGTTGTTAACGAAAAACTATATCGTTCCGAAGCCATGACAATCACTTTGCAGCAATACACAGCGACAGCAATATCGCAATATCAAGCTACTACAACGGTGTATCACGGGTTACACAAGTGTAGCTTGACAGAATGGTTCGACAACTGTACGAGAATTGCACTCAAAATGTTCCTAGGAATCTCTAGATAAAATAACAAACATGACTTTGAAAATGTTCGCGCGTATTACACTTTGTTTTATTATTAAAAAATTTATTAAAAAATGACAGTTTAATTCATATATAATTCGTGAACAAATTTTTTATAACTGCATAAATAGTGTAAAATTTAATAATTATATAATATAGATTTATTCGTAATTGTATATGTATATAATTTCTTAAGATTTCAGAGAAAATAAGGAAAATATAAAAATAAACATATTTATTATTGCTAAATATACATATTATATTTACTAAAATACTATAGTAAAAGCATTAATTAATGTAAATTTATTGAAAGTGTATTTTAACGTTAACGATTTATTAATTGAAGTTGATACTAATGAAAAATAAATTATAATGCAATTTTTACATAACATCAGGGTTGACTTTTTTTTTAACTAAGTTAAGTTAAAGTTAACAATTTTGAAAATTTAATTAAAATACAAGTTAATCCATAATGAAATTAATTGAATTAAAAGTTAAGTTAATAAAAAAAATAATTGAAAAGTTAAAAGTTAAATTTGATCCTAACGAACAACCAAAAAAAAAGAAAGAAGAAGAAAAAGTGACTATTTTACATAATTTTTCGTATTTTTCCTTTTTCACAGCATATTTATTAAAGAATCTGGTTATTTTTGTTCGCAAGTAACGATTATACAATATAAAGTTACTAAATTATATATACTCATCCTCTTGCATCGTCTGAGAATTGACTTAAAAAAAATCAAATTAAAAGTTAATAGTTACCGATAAAATGTAACTAAATTAAATTAAAAAGTTAAGTTAACGATTACCTTGTGTAGAGTCGTATGGACGTTATATAAATTTCTAATGAATATATACATATATTGACTAAATGTTATGCGTTTATATAGACGTTTTAAAAACTGCAAATATAACCGACATTAACTTTTTAATCATATAATTTTTCGATATGTAAATGGTACAAATGTTTTATAAAGTTATATAAATTTTCTCATAACTTTGTGCTCCTTGGGATGTATGTGGACATATCTTATACATAATTATATATGTTTATGAATATTTATACATGTTTATATATAATATATATTCATGCATAAAAAAATTTTTACTGGGAAGCAAATATTCTTATTTAATAAAATATATGATTGTTGCATGGAAAAACAGAACAGAATATATGGCATTTTAAATTGCTTCATGTATATTATACACATATATAATATACATATATAAAATATTCATATTTAAAAAAATCTGGTATGTATACTGCAACATTTTAATTGAAACTTTAATACACTGAAAAAAAAGATTGGCTG